TATTCACTAGTGAGAAAGGTGCTCATTTTAATGTAATTCCAACAGCATAATTCTCAAAATAACTCAACAGAAGTTTTTTAAAAGAGACACAAGCTACCAATGACCAAGACAAAAGGACACACAAATAGCTTTTAATGCACTGGAAATAAATGGCTTCATTTTCCTTGGTTTTTACCATCTTCCTAATTCAACAGTTTTCCAGATTTATGTATGTAGGTTATATGCATTCCAATGAAGTCTTAAAATTAGTAAAAAAAAAATTTAATTGTTCTAGTTACAGTGATCAAATTGTTTTAATGAAATGAAGCATTCTCTGTTCTGTAGATTCAGAGGTGATTCACCTCACCTACTAGTTGAAAGAGAAAATGTTCTTTTCTTTTTCTGACAGCTGAGCTTCTTTATATTTTGTGATTTCCAGAGTTTAACAGTCCCTGAACCATGGTAAAATTTATACATTTTCAGTCACTTCTACTAAGCAGCTACTTTTGTTATGGTTCTTAGTACTAATTTCACATTCTTACTATTTTTATCATGGAATTATTTATTAATCAACTGCAAAGTACTTTCTAAACAAAATATAGCATCATCATAAAACAAGGCTAAATTATTTATGTTGGCTTAAAAGTTGTACACATAAAAGCATTATTGATAATTTTGAAAGGCTTTACCTATTCTTTGTACACTATATATTATTGAAGTAATCTACACTGAATAATCATCAATTAGAGAAGACACCAACCACAGAAGAACCATAAGATAATTTCATTTACCTAAGGCCTTTCCTGTGTTCATTTTCATTTCTAGATCATGCCACAAAAATTAACTCCAATCAAAATATTGCCACAGAAGGAACAAGACCAGGAACTCAAGTGATGTTTACAATAAGTGGCCTTATTGTAAGGCCACTTGCATGGACAACTAATTCTAATACCTTTGGACAACTAATTCTAATGGACAACTAATTCTAATATGGACAACTAATTCTAATACCTTTCTCCTGTAAGTTGAATGCACAGTAAATTCTTCAGAAAAGTTTTCCACCATGATCAAAGACATACTGAATGGAGGTATTTCACCACCTTCCTCTCATCAAATTTGATCATAAATTGTTCAAACTTATAGTGCATCAACCACATTTATTGTAAATTGACTGTGCTTACTGTTTTCTAGGCACAAAATGTTAATGCAAGGCTGGTTTACTCAGGTGAGTGAACAATTTAAGAGGCTCTTTATGCAAAAACACCTGGTTCTGTAGCATGCATAAGCACATGTCTACTGATGAAAATATCCTGGTCTCTCTAAAAAGTAAAAGCAAAATTTGCTATTTTCTATGACATCACTTCACTAAGTTGTCCATGGTCTCACTAAGTTGTCCAGGCTGGATTTAAACTTGCAATCCTCCTGCCTCAGCTTCCCAGAGTGTTGGGATTACAATGCTTCCATGCACAACCACACCTGGCAGAGATCACTGTTTATGTAGATGGGATATGTGCAACATTTCTCCTTCTTGTTATGATAAAAATTGCTGCTATAAACATTCTTCTGTCTTTCTGTATGCATGCATAACCTGATCTAGAGGGAGAGAGCGAGTTTCAGGATATGTACATCTTCAACAATGCAGGAATTTGCAAATCATTTTCTAAAGTAAAGACATCAGTTTATACTTTTATTTTGTTTATTTATTTATTTTTTTCCGGTACTGGGAATAGAACTCACGACTTTGTGCTTTCCAGGCAGGCGCTGTGCCACTGAGCTAAATCCCCAGCCCTTCAATTCATACTTTGATTGGCAAAGTATTAAAGTTCCTGATACTCCACACCTTGCCAACTCTTGTCATGCTCAAAAAAGGTAATTCACACAGAAGATAAATCTTGGCTCACTAAGTGCCAGAGATATTCATTCCACAACCACACAATGCTTCTGAGTTAGATCTTGAGTTATACTCACTTCAAGTAAATTGGTCCCTTTTAAAGGCTAGTAAAAGTCATAGTTTATATCCATAAAATGGGAAATGTAAGTGTTATAAATGATTCTGCTGATTCTTACAAATTAGCCTTCCTTTTTCTTCTAAGGAAATTCCCTACAATGTTATGTCAAAACATTTGTGTCAACTGCTGTGTTTTGCCAAAGACGTAAATTTTCCAGTCAAAACAATTAATTAGAAACTATTAATGATGTCTTCAAAGACTTCAAGTCTCTGTCAATGAAGAGAAAAAAACCAAAGAGAACAAAATCTGCAAGACACAATGTTAGAGAGGCACCTGCTTTGTTGATCTGAAAGTGAGAATTTTACCTTGAATTCTCTAACTCTTTTGGCTTCATTTCACCAACTCTAAATCATTCAATTAATGGATCACAAGAAGACTTCAGCTTCACAGTTGCTTTTTCCTTCCCCTGTCATACGTTCAGTTCTTGCACCAATTTATATCTATTACAAAGTAGGCTGGGTGATAAAAATCACAGCACTAGTAAGTTTGTTTTAGTTTACTCAGCTATAGACCATCTGGTAATCATTAAGTGAGAAAACTCATTAGGAAAATACTGAAATATTAGAGCTATGAATTAAGAGAAACTTGCTCAGCTTCTTTTAATCTGAGGTCCTCTCCTTTTTCTTTCCTTTTCTTTCTTCCTGTGCTCCTTTTCTCCCTCCCTCCTTTTTTCCTACCTTCCTTCTTTCTCTCCTTCTTCCTTCCTTCTTTCCTTCCTTCCTCTTTCCTCCCCTGCCCTTCCTTCCTTCCCCAAAAGGCAGTACTCAGATGGCAGCATGGGATTGATGAGATTAGTTGGTCAGGGCTTATGAGCCTCAGGTCAGCCAAGTCAGAATCTGCATAAATCAATTAACTTTCAAGCATATATGACCCACAAATTCCATACTTAAAGCTGTTGCTCTGTAAATGAAGGGATCAGGCAAACCAAGTACATTCCTCCTCACTTCTGGGAAAAGACCAAAAGTCATCATCCACTCATGGTGAGGCCCTGATGTTAAATACCACTATTTAAAGTAGGAAGTTAGATTATGGCAGACAAAGAGCTCAAAATAAGAGAGTCCAGGAGTGATCAAAGGGTGGCAATCCTTGAAAATTATTAATGGCATCATCTGAGATGTAGGGAAATGATCAGCAGCAATCTACCATGTAGCTTTTTAAACACTTTGCTAGAAAATATGTACTTTCTTGACTCACTGGAATCTCCTCAGATCATGATATATGGATCTAAATGTTATTTACACTCAGACAAAAAAATACCCCCAGCAGCAATATTAGTTACATCAATCTGTGGTTTGATTTTTCTCACCTTATATTTCCCTTTGTATGTTGAGACAGGGTCTCATCGTAGACTCTAGGCCTCCCTTGAACTTACCATGCAGCCCTGTGTGGCCTTGAATTCTCCCTGGATTTTCCTGCTTCAGCCTCACAAGTGCTAGAGTCAGAGATGCACCACCACATGAGGCTGATTGTTCTGTTCTTCACCAAGAGCAAAGCCTTCGATTTGAAGCTTTTGGGACTAAACTTATTTTTTGTGTAACTTATGAAGTTAATTTATCTAAATTGTTTGCTACAACAAAACATATCAAGAAATTACAGAATATATATTTATTTGGTACTAAATTATATTTTACACACTGTCCTCATGTGATCCTACTTCCCCTTGCTATTTCACATGGCCAGTTATTTATTAATCCACCTTTGGGAATATAGTTCCTTTGACATAGAAATCATTATTGCTATTCAATAAAAAATATTGTACTGAACATCCGAGGTGTACACCCTTTATATCATTAAATCCTTTGTAACTATCCCTTTAAGAGCCTTCCACAAATAATGTTTCCATATGCTCAACCATTTCAGGAACTGATCATTTAACAATATATTTCTGTGAATTTTAAAAATTATGCCATAGAGAAACATTTTAAGGGCATGCATGAGCTCTACGCCAAGATCTAAATATTGAGATCAAAATGGGAAAAAAGGAGAAAAGAAATATAGCAGGGTAGTGCCAATAGTTATGAAAAACACTGTGACTCTTTGGCACAGTACTGCAATAAAGAAGTACTGTTTGGCAATAATCTTTGTATAAATATGACCTTCGTGAGGTGACATAATGCCAGATTCCTTTTATGTATTGTTTTTACTTTACTTATAGTAATCGTCTTTTAGTTTCTTTGTAGGACTGACCTCATAAATGGGCAGGCCCATCTCATAAGAGCAGTTAAATGTCAAGGACAAACTTAAACAAAGGCAGATCTCCTCTACACAGGAAATAGTGTTTCAAGACAGCAGTGGAGAATGATCCCTTGCATCAAAGGGTTAGAGACCTTATCCTCAAGGAAAGGCTTCAAAGTGAGTTTGTGATTTATCTTTCTCATAAATCCAACACAATACACTGCATGGAACTACGCAGATAACGGATAACAAAAGGAATTATCTGCCGGAATCTATACTTTGTATTTTCAGACCTCCCTCCCTAGTCCAGTTCTACAGGTGTCAGCGAAAAGCTCTTCCTGTGCTCTGAGGGAATTCAGCCACCTGACAATCACTCCAAAGAAGAAGTGGCAGGAGCCACTGTCCTGAACAGCAGTTTGCATCTACTGGCTGTTCCTCAACATTGCCACTTTCATTCGCAAAGGAGATCAGAACCCCCAAATTGGTTGTTCCGTGAGCATTTATAATCCTTAAAACTCCAACCAGAAACGTCAAGTGAGCATAGTTCTAAGCCAACTGTTGTCACATCGCTCCTGATGAAAACGTCTCTACTCTGTTGCTGACAAATATTGACGCTGTGTCCTAAGCTTCCTAGAAGCTGCTTGGAATTCTATCTTCTCTCACACAAAACAAGGGAAAAAAACAAAACAAAATTAAACTTGTGTATTTAGCTGATTTCTCTAAGAGGGAGGACCAACATAAGTAACAACTTGCACTTTAATTTCTTTTGTAAACATTTGTTTTAAAACCAGAATAAAAAGGAAGAGCAGCTAGAGAGACACTGCACATTCTCAGTACCTTGGAAACTCGGTTTGCCACTTCTCTGCCCACAGTGAGCCCCTGGACGAAGGTCCGGGCAGCAATGAAGGCGCGGGTGACCTGAATCTTCAGCTTCCGGGGCACATCTCCAAAGGGCTTCAGCTGGTCTGTATATTTGCTCACGCACTCCAAGTAGTCCTCGCTGAAGTGATACTGAGGGTTTATCAGCTGGAACATACGTTCCAAGAGCCGAGCCCAGAAATCATTGAGCATCTCCTCCAGGTTCACGTTGCCCCCAGTGTAGTATCTCTTCAGCTCTGTGAAAAGGTCCTGGAACACTTCCGAATTCTGCATGTACAGCATCCCATAGGTCCGGACAAACATGTCATTTAGGGACTTCTCAGCATTCTCCAACAGCTCCCGGAAAAATTCTGGAGATAAAACAAGAAAGCAGTCATAAATTAATAAGATGTGGGAAGTTCAGAGCATTGACTTACTTTAAATACAACCACTTTGCATGGGCAGTTTCATAGTAAAAGGGTACTTTGTGATTAAAGCATTAATGGACAAATGAAAATGATATTTTAAATGTGATTTGATCTTTATCCATGATCTTCTAAAGGTAAAAGAATTAGAAGACCCTGTGATCTCCATTTGAAAGAACATCCATTAGCATAAGAAGTTCTTACTTCATACACCTCTGAAACAGCTCCATTCTTTCTTCATGTACTGTTAAACTTTAGAAAAACCTATTGTTTGATATATGCTCAAATCAAAATAGGTTGCAGATATAATGTGCAAAGTATTGTTATTAACATAATAACAAATGCACACTGATAAACATTTTCTCTAACCTATTTACTAATTTGCTGTAATACTAAATTCAATTAAATTGCTTTTATTTGGAATAGTCTTTAAATAAGATGCTCAAATTAATATAATATTTGGGCTCTTTCAAATTCCTATATAGCAATCAATTAACTGTTCAGAGATCCACCATGCAGTTAAGTTCACTTACTGCTAAAGCTATAATGAACATAATTAAGGTGGTCATAATGAATCACTAAGTCATGAAGTATCTTGGATTATCATTATAAATATAAACTAACAAAATACTGGTATTTGGGCTTTGTGGTTTAGTGGTTCTGAATAAAAAGTATGTTACAACATGTGAGTACTTGAGTGTTTCTTAGATCACTGACGGTATCAAAATAAGAAACAAAGTAAAGCCACTGGGTACTGCTAACCTCACCGGAGTTCATGCTAGGCTTGCTAAGGAGGCTCTTTGTGTATGTAGGGCACATACAAGCCTAGACATCATAAAAGAGCTTGGGTAGAGGAAGCCCAAATTTTATTCCTTTTGGAGAATGGGGAAAACTAAGGTAAGAGAATGCTTCTGAGTCTGTCAGTCCAAGTTCCTAGTAATGAAGAGACTATGTCATCTCTTAAACGCTTCTTTCTGTTCCCTGAAGCTGTGTCCTTTCTCAGAAATGCAGGGACAGAAGAAGCCATGGACATATCAAGGACTCCCAATAAAAATTACAAAAAGATTCTTCCTTTTCGAGCCCTGAAGGATTCTTTCTCAACCCATGGAAAGAAGATAATACATCCTTTTTGTACGGACTCCACGAATGTTATTTTGTGTTCTCTTAGAAGCTGGCTGAAGAAGCACTTGGTTCAGCCACTTTCATTCCAGTTAGTGTAGAGGTGAACAATTATCTTAATGATTTCACAGTGTCTACACTAATGGTAACTATTTTATATTTGTTTTTAAAATAAGATCAAAACAACACATCTTAAAAAGGAATCTGCTCACTTGTGTACTCTTTTACAGGAAGAACTTTTTTTTTCTTAAAGAATTTCTATTGCTATAGAGGCAGCAAAAACTTGAGTCATGGATTATAAACCCTATGTAATTCTGTTCAAGTCACTGAATATTCCCCACTTTTATTTTTCTCAGTGTAAAATCACAATATATATTATTAATCCTTTAATTGATAAGAAGAAATAAGTGTTAATAACTCTATCTTGGTCAGTACATATTGTTTATATGTGTTGAAATATTATACTATACTGAATAAACATGTCAGATTATTATACATTAATAAAAAATTTCAAATATTTAATGAGGTGGAAACAATCTACTTAAAGTAGTGTATAGTGATAAAGAGTGTGCAATGATTTTATCATTGTACATTCTATACATGTATCAAATTATCACACTGCATTCCATAAAGTTATACAACTAAAATATTACAAAAAGAAACAATGTAAACTTCAAAGATTTCATAAACAAAATTAGTGGTGAAGCATATAATTATGTATGCTACACATCAATGGTATTTATGATTGTATGAAATACAGGGCATGATACAGTTTTGCAGAAGTACTAGTTACCTAGTTTGTTCTAAAATGAGAACTATATTAAATTATTAATATCAATGCCAGCATATGAGCATAAGTAAAATCTTTCCATCTTGAAATCAAGAATGAAGATAACCTGGCTTTGCTGATATTAGAACAGGGTGAAAGGTGTTATAGATTGTGGGAGAAGGTGGGAGAGAATGGGAAAATCACTGAATTGAAAAATTGTAATATAACAGGACTAGAAGTGGATTCTAATCATGAGCTCTGAACAGTCTATTCATTTATCTTCTTTTTGAGGTCAATTATTTTGTTGGACTTTGGAATTAAAGTTTAATTTATTGAACACAGAGCAGCGGTTTCAGCAATGAGTACTCAGTAATCAATAGCATGGTCTGAATTTGCAAAGGCAAGTGAGAGAGAGAAAGCCAGTGAGAGAGAGAGAGGGGGCGGGCAGAGGCAAAGGCAGAGCCCCTCGGTCCTCATCACTGTCCAGTGGCCTGAGGTACAAAGGTTTGTTTTCAGGATGAACCTTGTGTTTTTCCTTTGCCAAGGTTAAATTCCTGAGGTCTCATCTTTCCTCACATGCAGACTGTGAAATATTAGGCTTTTGCCTGCTTTGAAGGTGAACAATTCCAATCAGAATGACCACTCACTGCGTCTTATGGTTTGTTTTCTTATGTATTCATGGATGAATGTAGAAACCAAGTCACTGTAGTCCAATAAACATGGCTTAAGAAACATTTCATTATTTTCTAACCTTAAATTTTTTTCTAAGGGTATGTCACTGTCTCAGAACTTTGCTATTAGCTTCACTGGTCCTCAAAAGTCAAATTATCCCTTGTTCAAAATCATTATATGGTTTACTGACTTCCTAGTCAAACGTAATATTTAGTATTGAAAGATGATAATATATCAGCGAATTATGAAAAATGCTGCTATCTTAGGATACATTGATCTTAGATCTCATGAAAAATAAGGTTCCAAGTTACTGAGGCAAAACTAATGTCACCCAAAAACAAGTCAACGTATTTCAATTTTTGCAGGTCTGTAGACTTGCACCTTTTGAAGGTTGACACTGCACAAAGTATTTTATGCTTGGGTGAATTTTTTTTCTCAGTACTTCCAAACAAGATAGGGATTTGCAAGACAACAACTCGATCCATTTTCCTGATGAAGTATTATGTCCAAACCCATCACAGAAAAAAAAAAAAAATCAAGAGCAATACAACAAGACCCAACTTCAATATAACATTTTGTTTACTTGGAGAGGGCAAAGCTCACACTGGAGAAAGCCTTCTATCAACAAAATTTCTCATCTATAAGAAACAGTTTGGCTAAAAGAAATACTATTGGAGTTTTTTTCTTCTCTTCCCCAATCACAAAATATACATCAAAGGTAGTTGCTTAGGGCTCAGTTTATGCTTCATAGGTGTACAAAAGAACTTCAGCAAGCATTAGCCTCTGGGAGGATTTTATTCATCTAGAGGAGATCTCAATGCAAACATCTGTTAGCTGTAAGGCAGACTGCTTCAAGGAGAACAATCATGTAGATAAAAACCACCACTGTTCCACAAGTGAAAAGAAAGCCTATATTTTGCTGCTTGTTGCTTGGAGAGGCCTCTTCAGGGGCTAAAACCAACTCCTAGGAGCCAAGAGGTGCCCTAAGGATAACTGAGAAAGGCTTCAAAGAAACCATCCAGATGAACAGATTGAAATGCAAGATGGCAAACAGGTCTCTAAGGGAAGCTATAAGACAGAGGAAAAAACTAGGCTAAAGCCTTCCAAGCAATTTGCAGGTAAATGAAACAGTGAAATAGGGGAACTATTTCAGCCATAAAAGTTGCTCCTTAACACCACTGTGAAAAAGCATATACTATGGTAGATTGGGCCTGGTGATTGGGTTATGTGCAATATGGCATCTTTTTCTTAATCTGTTCCTGTGCTCTCCACGAGAAGGGAAGCCACACTTTGGGTGTGGGTGATAGAATCCCACAGGCTTGTATCTTGGATAGGATGAAAGGGAACGATGGAAGGCAAGTTGCTGCCGCTGCTACCACCTCCTGCTTGCTCTGCCATGGACAGTTTCTCCTCTGCCATCCCACCCTGTTTTGAATCCAGCTGACTATGGACTGAAATCTGTATAAACGGTGAGCTGAAATAAATCTTAAGTTGTAGGTGTCACATATTTTGTTTCAGCAATGAGAAAACAACTAAGACAGTGGTGGCTACACATCATTACAGAGAGCAACTGCCCTACCTTGGAAAGCAGGTATGCTAAGCTTGTATCCCTAAACTCAGATGCAAACACACACACACACACACACACACACACACACACACACACACACACACATACACACACACGTGTCCATAAGTGTACCTGTGAGGTTCTGTCCTACTGTCTTTGTTTCTACTCTCTCCTCCAAATCTAGATAAATCAGTTGGGTCAGCCCAGTCAAACTTTGGCTATGGACCACTCTAAGGCAGAAGCTGTTTTAGAGGAAAAAATGGTGTTGAAACCTGATAATCACTAGGAGTTATGATGCCCAGACAATGCAGTTCCCAGCATGCCCACTCAATGTCTGTTTCAAGGTTAACCAAGCAGGAAAGCTCTTCATCATTCCAAGTATATCTGTCTGCTTTGAGTTCATTTCTTTTTGAGAAATCTTGCTTACACAGAAGGTTGAGTTAATGAGGGGTCTTAATGGAGAAAGACATCTAGTGCCATTTATTTCACTCAGTGTTCAACTTCAAGTTTAAGTAAGCATAATCCCCATGATGGTAAATCTTGATTATCAACTTGTGGTTTGTCAGCTGCCTATGAGATTAGTAAAGCACATTTCTGAGTCTGTCTGGGTGGATCATGAAGTGGGACCTTGAGAAATATATCTGACCCCTGGCGTTTTTATTCTCTAGCCCAGGTACCATTCTCTGGTTCCCACCCAGCATGAACTAAGCAGTTGGATTCCACCACACTCTTCAACCATGATGTTCTTGCCTTGGAGACAGTTGACCATGGACTGAAACTTTTGAAACTGTGAACCAAATAAAACATTTCTTCCTT